CAGCCGGGCATCATCCTCTCCCCGCGTCTTCACCTTCCCCGGCTTCCGGTTCAACACACACTACCCACCTCTGCAGTAGTTCGGGCCACCTCTTTCTCTCCCGGTGATTTTTTGACAACCCCACTATGGCCTCTCTGCCAGGAGACAGCAGCTATGAGCCTGGACAGCCCTAATGGGAACACTTCCGGGTCAAGTGGCAGCAGGGGAGCCTCCTAACATGCAAAATGGGAACACTTCCGGGTCACAGGCCCGCCAAAACCTGAGCACTTTCCAGCCTCTTGAGAGGCAGCTGTCCCATGTGGTTAGTGGTGAAGGCAGCAGGGGACACAGAAGCATCTCCTGAAGTCTGCACCAGGCTCCAGGTCCTTCCCTCCCTCACCTAACACAGGAAGGCCTGCAAATGCCCAGAGGCTACATGGCAGTGGATTTTTCTTCTCTGACTGATAAAGACTTCTTTTAAATGAGTTGTTTTCTTCAAAACAGATGAAGTGCTTAGATTTTTAGCAGAAATGTTCACCCCACTCCTCCCTCACATCACACTCACTCCCTGACCTCAGGGTGCAAAGTCTATGCTAGGTAGCTGCAGTTGCTGGAGGACCTCGAGACTGGCCTCACAAACCTCCGTGGCCCAGGTACCTGAGGTCACAGGTGACCCCAGGGAAAGGACCTACCTACCAGGTTATCCAGTCAGGAAGGCTGGGCCTCTGTCTTCTATCCCTGTGACAGGAACAGACTTGCCTCCTCAAACTCAGCCTGCAGGGTGTCCTCATTCACCGGGTGGGGCCTTCCTTCCTTTCTGTCCTGTCCTGTCTGCTCTTCTTCCAGCTTCTCTCATGCTCTCCTTTCCCATCCCCCCAGTTTGTCTGTCTGTCTTCCTTTCTGCCTTAGTCTTATTGGTGGAGCTATGATTCACAGGTTACTCCTCTCGGTCTCTCTCTTCAGGCACCCCTGCTTCTGAGCCCCGTGGCCAGTGTAATATCAGGGAAGGAGGGGTGAGCACGCCAGGACAGGCCACTGCCTGGCCTCCACTCTGCTGGAACCCACCGTTCTCGGGGATCGTAAACCCAGCATCAGTAAAGAATTAAAGAAACCAAGTTTAAACTAAGAGAAGATGACTTATTTGAAAATGGAGAAAAATGGAGAAGACAGATGTTAGATTGCTACTCTGGAAGAGCAGGGAGCATTCGAAAGTAAAATACTCAAGAATTTTTATATGTGGGTCTTTTTATTGAGTTCTTTGTCCATGTAGACTCCTGGAATCTGATTGGCTCCATTACTATCTTTGGTCCTACCCTTGAGTTTCTCCTGGTCCCTTGACATTTCCTGTTGTTTGGTGGAGGCTAGGATTATGGCTGAGGAGTTAGGGATGAGTAGTTTAGGTATAAGTATTAAATAAAAGGGTTTATGTTGCTCACAGTGCTGGCGGTCTCACTGCTAGTTTTTTTGGCCTTTGTCTTTCTGATTGCTGGAGTCTAGCTGCCTTGTCTATTTGGGTGAGCCTAGTCTGCAGGGGCAGAGGCTGCCTCTAGCTGCCCTTTGTAAATCTCTCCATTAACTTCTAACGAAGCTCAATAAGGCCATCATCCTATCTTCTCCCTACCTACAGCCCCCTGTCCCTACACTAGCTCCCCACTGTCAAATCAAGCCAGTCACATTCCCTTCCTGACCAATACCAGAGCCTAAGCTGAGTCAAGCTAAGGCCTCTTGAATGTTTCTCACCAATCAGATAATGCAGAGTATTTACATCAGTTGTTTTAACAGTTTTATTAGGGTATAACTACTGTACATACAATAAAGTTCCATTATTTCAAATAAACAATTCAGCTGGGCGTGGTGGCGCACAGCTGTAATCCCAGCACTCTGGAGGCTGAGGCAGGAGGATCGTTGCAAGTTCAAAACCAGCCTGGGCTACAGAATGAGCTCAAGGCCAGCCTGAACTGCATAGTGAGACCCTGTCTCAAAAAAAAAAAAAAAAAAAAAATCAAATAAACAATTCAATGACTTTGTGCAAATGTATTCAGCATGTACTCACTACCAAAATCAAAACAGCATTTGCATCTCCTTAGAAAGTTTTCCTGCCTCTTTTGGCTCTTGGCAATACTTAATCTGTTTTCTGTCACCATAGCTCTGGGTTTTTATTCTTTCTTATTTTCTAGAATTTCATATGAATGGCATCACATAGCTTGTGGACTTTTGTGTTTGGCGTATTTTACTTAGGATGATGATGTTTCACCCGTGTTGCATATGTTGGTGAGGACACTGTGGTTAAACCACAATCTGTTTGATTCAGTGTAGACTGGCCTTTGGGTTGTTTCCACTGGGAGGCTAAAATGAATAGGCACTCTCAACATTCACATACAAGTGCTTGTGTGGACGTATGTTCTCATTCCTTTTAGGTGCTACTTTGAAGATTGCTGAGTACTGTATATTTAACTTTATGAGTGGTTGATCTGTTTTCCAACATAGTTGGACCAATTTGCATTCCCACCAGAAGTGTATGATAACTCTAGTATCACATTCTCATCAGCACTTGGTATAATTGGTCTTTTTAATTTTAGCCATTTTTGTAGTTATGTAGGCACAGTATTTCCTGTTGTTTAAGTCTGCATACCCCTAATAATTATTGAGATTGGGCATCTTTTCATGTGCTTCATTTAAAATATTTTATTTTGTGGTACTTTTGCCCATTCTTGCTTGGGTTTTCTTCTTATGAATGTATGATAAGAGCTTCCCCAGTCCTTTTTGTCTTCCTCTTTCCTCTTTCCTCCTTTCTTCTTCTCTCTAGACCTGTTATTCTCCTATTCCCTCTGCCCCAGTTTAACGCTGCTATCCTAGGAGTCTTCCTCCATCTCCCCCTTTCTCTCTCCTTCTCTGCCTCTTTCCTCCTCTATCACATTTTCTTTTCCTTTTTTCTCTAGGACACCTCTCATCCAGAGAATCTGACCTCTTTCCCCATTCCATATTATAAATTACTCCATCACAAGCCCATAGATTTCCATCCGGGCCATCACCAGTGTCCAAAATGGGGGAAAACCCTCTCCCCAGATGAAGGCCTAGAGAAATGAAAATATAGAGCCTGGCATAATGGAGAGATGGCTTATCACTCAGTACCTTCCTCCTTCCCAAAGGACTAATGGTGTTTATAGATACAGGAGCTTTTACTGAAACATAACGTTGGAAAGTCAGGAGTGTTAAGTGCAGCTCATCCTGCTGATCAGTGGCTCAACAGCCTTCACAAACCTAAGATTACTTATTTGCATAATAAGCCCCTCCCCACACACATCTCCCAAGTCCAGTGGCACCACCTTGCCTAAAGACAGCAGTGTGACAGTGTTTGACTTCACAGTGCAGAACACACTACTTGCAGTGTTAGAGTACCCCAGATGAAAGGCTGTGGAATGCTTTCTTTTTTAAAGAGGTTTGTTGAGCTATAACTCACTTTACAGTTCATCTTTTCAAAGTGTACAATTCAGTGGTTTTTTTGTATACTCACAGGTACTGTATGCATGATTATTGCCATAACTTTAGAACATTTTACCACTTCAAAAAGAAACCCAGTACTCTTAGCTATCACTAAACTCTTTAGCTATCACTCCTATCATCCCCTATCCCGTCAACTCCTAGAGAACATAAATCTACTCTCCATCTCTATAGATTTGTCTACTCTGGATATTTCATATCAATGGAATCATATAATATGTGACCTTTTGAATCTGGCTTCGTTCATTAAATATAATATTCTCAAGGTTCATCTGTGTTCTCCTGTGTATCACTAATTCACTTTTTATGGCTAACTAATATTCCACTGAGTGGGGATATGCTATTTTGTTTATCCACATTTGAGTTGTTTCCACCTTTTGGTTATTTATTATGATTCATGCTTCTATAAACATTAGTATACAAGTTTTTGTGTAGTTATATGTTTTTAATCTCTCTTGAGCATATAGTAGGTATTTCTCCTGGGTATACCTACTACAAGGAGACTTACTAGGTCATCTGACAATCTTATATTTAATCATTTGAGGAACTCAACTGGTTTCCAAAAGGGTTGAACCATTTTACATTTCTACCATCAATGTATGAGGGTCTCAACTTTTCTTTTTGCCAACATTCATTATTATCTGAAGGGAATGAGTTTGTTTTGTTTCTGTTTTTTGAGATAGGGTCTCATTATATAGTTCAGGGTGGCCTTGAACTCACTACGAATCCCAGGCTGGCTTTGAACTTGTGGCAATTTCCTGCCTCAGCCTCCCAAGTGCTGGGATTACAAATGTGTGCCACCACACCCAGTAGGAATGGTTTTTTAATTCTATAATTAGATTCAAAAGTTCACACATCCATGCAAATACATTTGTATAATCATAGATACAAATACACACAGAAAACTATATAGTGGTGCCTACCTGCACACTTCCCTAGAGTTCATACATATAACATACTCATAGAATAGTATAGATACTTGTATAGATATTTGTTTTATAGTATAGATACTTTTAGTTCGGTGACTTTTCTTCCCCTCCGTGTCTCAGTGTGTCATCCAAAAATGCAGATTAAGAAGCTACTTTTAATAAGGATTAAGTTCACTGACACTTATGAAGCACTTAAAACTGCCTGGCAAATGCTAAGTTCTGAGCCGGTATTAGCCATCGTATTTTCTGAAAGCAGGTTTTCACAGAGGAAGGTGCACCCTGAAAGATGGGTAGGGTGGGGCAGGAGATAGAGTGAGCGGCCGGGCAGCACCCCCTTGGCTGTGAAATGGACAGCTCTCCATCCACTCCTGTACCCTAGCAGTCTTCCCTGGTCACTCCAGCAAGCCATAAACTCATCTTTTCCACCCTACTCTACCCAAAGCCATAAACGACAGAGAAGATGTAAGGAGGTTGGGGCTAGGCTGACTCTTGGTTTTCAGTTGGGTCAAGCCTTTCTGTGGCAGACTTGTCCACTGTAGGCCTGGCTTGTGGCATTTATTGGCTCTGCTTGGCTGTCTTCTGTCTGTATAGGTCAGCATTTACCATCCTGCACCTGCCTCTTCAGGACATTCCATGGCTGTGTTCAATCTGCCCAGCTCCCAGCAACACCTGTCAGCTAACATGTGAGTAAAAAGCTCAGCCCTCCCCGTGAGGCCCCAGGCCAGATGGGTCATCTTCGCCAGCTTTTGGCCATCAAACATTCCCAGGTACAAACCAAATCATCCCATCCTGAGAGATCTCCACTTCCCTTAACACTACCACAGGAAGTAATGGTGAAAAACAAAACTTAGAAAATCACAACATCTTGGCTCATTATTTTACAAGAGCAGAAAAAGACTGCAAGATCATATATCACAACATCACTGGAAGATTGGATATTGAGCAATTTCTATTGTCTTTCTTTAGTTTCAAAATGTTGGGTCATAAATAGATGTTGATCTCATAATCAGCAAAAAATACAGTGTGTACAGAAGGAAAAAAGACTTGTAGATGAGAACACACTCCTAACTTCTTTAATAAAACATCCTAGTGTCTCATAGTCTTTAGAATATAGGATTTGCTAATATCTATCCCAAGAGATATTCTGGGGACCCCCTGAATCCACCAAGGCAAACTGGGTTATTTCTTTACTCCCTTCAACCTGGCAGCTGTTCGCACTCCTTCAGCTTTATGTCTCACTGTTACGTGTTGTCTTCGCTCCTTGACTCATACCTGGTTGTCACCTATGTGATTTTTGGGAATACTTTAGAACACAAAGTCTGTTCTAACTTGAGGACATTTTTACCATGTTTGTTATAAATTCCATCCCACCTTGGAGCTAACATTCCTCTGTGTGCCAAAAACCAAAAATCAACCCTTCCTTCCTACTTCCAAGTGTATACTTCTCTGCCTTTGTCAGCTGGCTCCTTGCCCCTTCCAAAAAGTCAAACATGTCCCTACTCTCACTTGTGGGAATGGGTCGGAGAGACATGTGTGCTGACCTCTCATTTCCCTGAGCTTTGCTGACTGTGAGAGTCTTCTTAGGGAACACACTACAGCAGTGAAAAAGTATGTTCAGTGAACCACTGCTTGTAGGTTTGAGACCCTCTCTGACACTAACTCCTAGCCACCAAGCTTTTCTCCATCTGAGGCCAGTTTTCCCATTGTTAAAGTGCCAATACTGACCTAAGTTAGTGATGAGCACCTGTGTGGTGCTATGTGGAGGGGGCTAGAGATGGAGAAGGTGGGGACCTGCCCCCCTCCACTGCCACTTGAACTGGGGTATTCCACACCTTCATGTTGAGGTTTCAAATTTTTAAAGGATTTTCTTGCTAGGCACTGGGTTGAGGGCTCTGGGGTACATCTGTCCCTGTGCCACCAGTAGGCTCTGTGCCCTCCACTAGGCATGCTTACCTTCTTCCCTCACATTCCCTTGTCTCCCAGGTGTGTAGCCCTGCACTCCTACTCAGCCCATGGACCCAATGAGCTGGACCTGCAGAAGGGAGAAGGTGTCAGGGTCCTGGGGAAGTACCAGGATGGCTGGCTGCGGGGCATCTCCTTGGTCACTGGGCGAGTCGGCATCTTCCCAAACAACTACGTCATCCCCATATTCAGGTGCGTCCCCTCCAACCTCAGTCTTCAGGACATTGGGTCCTCCTAGACCAGGGACCTCCTGTGGGTTGAACTCATGAAGACCGTAGCTTTGCCCTACTATCCTAACTCTTTAAGAAATACACAACAAAAATAATTATATTTTTATAGCTCTTCATAATTTACAAGCAATTCTGCCTCTTTTAGCCTATTGGCCATGCCTAATAATCTTGTATATATTATTTTACAGATGAGGAAACTGATGTGCAGGGTTAGACAACTTGATTAAGAACTAGATTTCAGGTTTTCTTCTGCAGAAGTCCCAGAAGTTCCACACTCACATCCTACACCTCAATACTCCATCTAGTGGAACAACTGGAAAGTGAATCAGATGACCTCCCCAGAGCTCCTCGGGAGAGTTCTTGGGATGCTACACCATTTGGCGTAATTTCCATGAACTCAGACCACCATGAACTTCATGAACCACTAAATGTTCATCCACATCCCAGAACAATTGCCAGTTACCCTGCAGTCCTTTTGCCTACCAGTTTTCCCCATCATTTTTCATTCTGCAACACACCTACAGGGACCCACAGTGTATCCTGCCACCTCACACCATGACCCCAAATGCACACAGACCCCAAAGCTACCCATGACTCCTCCTACATCCATCCCCCTCAACCCAAGCAAAGCCATCACTATGCACCAAATGCTGTCTTTATGACATACCAGGGGGTCACAACACCAAGGACAGTGACAGGCCCACTGTACCCCAGAGAGGTCAGACCAAGAGTCATCTGTCCACTTTAGGGGACCTTCATTGAGGCCGGACACTGTGCCTGGAGGAGGGCCACAAAGATGGTGAGGAAACAGCAAACTGTGGCACTGCAGAAATTGATAAAGAAAGGCTTGGTTCACCTGTAAAAGACAAGGGACAGAGGGCTTTTAGAAACTGTGTAAACCTGAAGGTAGATTTGTTTCAGAAGAAGGCAGTAGGGGGCTGGGGATTTAGCTCAGTGGCACAGCGCCTGCCTGGCAAGCGCAAGGTCATGAGTTTGATTCCCAGTACCAAAGGGAAAAAAAAAAAAACAGAAGAAGGCAGTAGAATAGACTGGGGGGTACAAGTTAGGTTTTAGTTCAATAAAAACTGTATTTTCTAGCCCATGGAATTTTCCAACCCAAGTGGATAGTGAGGGGCTGGGGAGTTAGCTCAGTGGCAAAGCACCTGCCTGGCAAGTGCAAGGTCGTGAGTTCGGTTCCCGGTACCAGAGAAAAACCAAAAAAAACAAAAAAACAAAAAAACACCAAATGGATAGTGAGGTAGAGAGCCTCCTCTTAGGAAAAGCGCATATAAAGTCTAGCTCCCCATAAATCCAGGGTTGTAGAAAAAGATTTCTTCACATGGCAGAAAGTTGAGATAGAAGATAATAGTTATGGAAGGTTCTTAGATCTTTTTTAAAGTTGAAAATTATCCAAAGGTAAACTAAGAGTATCTATAACTGGTATTTTATTTCACTCCTTCAACAAATATTGAATGCTGTCAGGTGTGATGTTTTCATCACACTGGAGAAATGCTAGTGAAGAAAATTTGCAAAATTCTTGTGCACAAGAGCTTACAGTGTAGTGTGAGAAAGAGATGATAAACAAGATCTATAAGTATGTTAATGGTAAAGACTGAAAAGGAAAATCAAGAAAGGGTGACAGAGTTTATGTGTCAGAGGGTTTTACAGTTTTAGATAAGCTGGCTAGGGATGGACTTACTGAAAGAAGAAGGAATGAAGGAAGGAGATGACCCAGATGGATCTCTGAGGGAAATACATTCTAAACCAAAGAACAGCAAGTAAAAGGCCCCGACATCAGCGTGTGCCTGACATGAAATCCAACAGGATTAGAGCAAGTGAAGGGCAGATTAGTAGGAGATGTAGTCAAAATGGTAAAGGGGGCAGCTCATCTAGAATTTCCTAGGTTATAATGAAAGATTTTATTTTAACCTCATTGCAGCGTTTTGAGCAAAACAGTGACATGATCTAACTAATGTTTAACGAGAATCCCTCTAGGTGCTCTTGAGAATACACTATAGAGAGAAATGGCTGGAATCCTGAGGACAGGTGATGTACTAGTCCTGAGCAGAGATGATGTTTGAATTGAACAAGGGTGTTGTGATAACACCATAGAGCTCATTAGAAGTGGTCAGATTTTGGAATATTCTGAACTTAGAGACAATGAGAATCTCTCAAAGATAAAATATCAGGTTATTAAGGATTAGAGGGTTCAGTGTGAATTCAAGTTTTTGCCTCTATTAAGTGTAACATCAAGTTGCCTTTTAGTGAGATGGTGCTGATGAAAATCATAAGAGATTGTGAGGTATGGGGCAAGAAAAAGCCTACTTCCTGGAGATTAAATCTGAGATGCCTATTCTTAGTCTAAATAAAGGTGTTGGTAAGCAATTGAGTATACCCACTTAGCTTTTAAGAGAGAGCTCCAAGCTTGAGATAGTATTTCAAACCTAAGATTTAATGAGATCGTCATGGAAGGATCCGTTGTATCAAGAGACCAACAGGGAGCCAATACCTATAAAGTCTTCCAGGACTGAGAAAGAGACAGAGCTAGAGGGTGAATGATGGCTGTAAGAAGATGGGGTGGTGGATGGTAGGATCTGATAATATGAGTCAAAGCTGAGAAGTACTGAAGAGCACAGGGAACAATTCAGAAGTGAAAATGAGGACCAAGGACTTGTCTATCCTAATTTAGGAACATGCTAGCTGATAGGAACAGTCCAGGATTCATGCCTAATACTGGAGCATTTGCTTATACCAGTTTTTAGCCCAAAATCTTGCTTATGCCATCAAAAAAACTTTAGAATAAGAGTGATCACATATCTAAACTATCACACTTTTAAGCAGGTATAAGCTGAACCTCTTCTAGGAAATCAGGATGTGTGGTCACCCCGTCTAGAAAGCATGTCTGCCTCCATATCAGCATATTTCTGGGCTCTAACTTGCACTTTTCTCCTGACCTTTTCTCCTGGGTGGATGTATTGTGCTTGAGGACAGGTCATAAGCATCTATATTCATCCTCTCTGAGATGGCTGCATGTCAGACAGCGATGGAGATTCAGCACTTTGGGGTGGCCATTGAGTCCATACTTTCCTCCCAGCTCACAGAAATGAGAACATTTGCATATCTGGGAGTGCTGCTAGTGTTCAGGCATGATTTTCCTTATGATGAAAGAGCATTCCCAAGAAGAACATGTTCCTGAGGGTTATTAGGTGACAAAGTTAATGCTTTCTCTGCATTGGTATGTTTCCCTTGATGGGCTTTCTGATACAAGAAAGTTCCCATCCCAGCTAACCTTGGACATGAATGATACATGCCCTATTTGTCTATCTGGGTTCCACTAAGCCTTAACCATTGGTTCTTAACCATTCTTTCCACTGTGGGAAGTTTTATTCTCTCCACTTCTCAGGGATGAAAAATGCTGTCCTTTGTCAGCTGAGTTTCCACTATTACCAACTTATGTGTGAGAACTTAGTGGGCTGGGCTACCTACCCAAGCCTCCTTTCTGCTCTGTGATTCTGTGTGGCTTTTTGTCTCCCTTGTCTTTGTTTTGTTTTGTTCTCCTTTGTCTTTGTTTTGTTTGTGATGGTTCTGCACTGCTTCCCAGCCCCTTTGTGTGTAGTACAGACTTTTATGAAATAAAGTCAGACATTTGGGGTGGCTCCCAAGAATTGGGATCTCTACCCTTACTAGTATCCTCCCTGAATGAACTGAGCCAGCCTGAGTTTGGAGCTTAACTACAATCAGAGTTGACCAGAATGCCAGGGTTTATATTTAAGATTCAGCAAGTGAGTCTTTTAACTAGTAAGACTCAAAAAGTCTCACAATGCTGTGCCTTGTGTTCTCCAGCACTCTTAGTTAAATATGGACACCAACCTGTCTACCTCTTCCTGACAACTAAATCTCTGCTGTCAAATCCTAGAGATATCTGTGGGCTCAGGTTGTACCAAACAGCTGTCATATTTTTCTCTGTCCAGCATCCAAACCCTTTTAGTAGCACCAATATCCTTTGAGTCTCCTCTTCCACGTGGTCCTGGGGAGAGGCAGATCTTTCCCCCCTTTTCAAACACCAAAGAAACCAAACCCTTTCCCCTTCCTCCTGCACCCATCATGTAGCTAAGGATGAGGCCAGGCCAAGCTTATATTCCCTCTTAGAACTCTGAAACATGCAAGGGAGGAAAGGATGCAGGCAAAGCTGACAACCACTCATGATGAAAGCACCAGGAAGAACGCCTGACTCCACACTTCTCGCTGCAGATTTCTTTGCCGAACCCTCTGAAGCCTCCTTGGATTCTATTTCCAAGTCCTTTCCTCCCCCTCCCATCCTCCCAACACATTCCCTTCTGACCAGTTAGCCAGGGTATTTCTCTTTCTTGCAAACTTCACAGACACACAGGTGCATACCTGGTACCCTACGGGTAGAGAAAAATGATGGATGGACCATTACTCCTTGGCCTTTAGCACTTTACACAGACTATATATAGATGGTCATCATCTGACCTTTCTCCTCACCAGGAGGCTGCTGCCAGTGGAGGACCCAGCAGAGCTTCTGTTCATAATGCCCCCTTTGAATTTTGGGTAAGGTCTTATAGGTAATATCCTATAAGACATAGAAAAAGACACAGGGGCCTGCTTAATGGAGCAAATCAGAAGCAACATCCACTGCTCCCATTTACATCCAGACTGTCTTTCAGTCTCCTCTGGAAAATAAGGATCATAATGTCTTCGTGGGGATTAATTAATACATGTTAACACAGCACTTTGATGTTGGTAGAAAGTGTTGGGTAAGTGCTAAGCATTTTGCCAAAAAACACAGAGGGACTCAGTGTTGGATAGGAGATGGGATTTAGGAGTTTCTGGAATCTGGCCCAATGCTGGGCTCAGGAAAATGAAGTCATACCTCAGTCTTTAAACAGCCATTCAAAGAAGGGACTGATAGAATAAGGCCAGCTTGGGCCTAATTAGCGGTATTCTGTCCTTGCTGCTGCTGCTGCTGCTACTGCTGCTGCTGCTGCTGCTGCTGCTGCTGCTGGTGGAAACAATTTTGGAAGCCATCTTTCCTCCGGCTAATTCATCTTGTAGCTTCCAACTCCTTAAGGCCTCTGTTCAAGAGACGGGCAGATCATCTGCACTCTGCCATGGAAGCCAGTGTTTGGGATTCCTTGCTACTGTCCAGGCCTCATCTCCAGACTATAGACTAATGGAAAGCCCCAGCCTCTTCAGAGACCCTAATCACCATGGAGTCCAGAGGCAGACTGACAGCTGCAAAAAGAAGCCTCTTGTCACAAGCGTGAGTGCTTGAGAGCATTTGGCTACATACTTTCCGAGCAGCGCTGGCCACAATGACGTGACGCCTTCACTATCTTCCTACGACAATGGTTCATTATTAAACTACACTGTCTTTCTTTAATAAAAAAGAGAGAAAAGAGGAAAGAGTAGGAAAACCTGGAGGCATTGACAAGAAGGAAATCATGAGGGCATCTCTGTGCTAGGGTCTTGGTTGAGTTTGTCATTCCCGGGGAATTAGCGGAGGTTATTGGATCAGCAGAGTTCTAGGGTGATTGTAGGAGAGGTGATGTTGGGGTTCAGTTGGTAAAATGGAAAGAAAAGCATGTAAAATATCAACCATTCCCCAGGGAGTTCAGGGAGTTGCAGGCTGAAAACAATGAACAAGGGATTGATGTTTTATAAAACTTCAATAATGTTCTTGAAAATTGCAGCCCATGACTGAAAAATTAAGATTTTCTGAAGGCATGTGCAGGGGCTGCGAGCTGCTTTAATGCATTGATTTCAGGTGGGATAAAAGGGTTTTCCTGCTACCCAATAGTGCTCTAACCAACCAGGAGGTGGTGTAGCTATCTCAGTGGTAAGGGACGAGGAGCTGGATTCAAATCCCTAATCTAGCAGGTGCTTGAGTAAGTAAGTGCAAAACTCTGTTTTTTAATGTATGAAGTAGTGGTGCTAAAGGTACTGCCTCAGAAGGCTGTTGTAAAGAACTCATGCATTGATGTAGGCAAAGGCCCGACATACAGTAAGGACTCCACACATGTAAGAAGCCACAGTGAATGGCATCATGGCAGCCGTTCAACAGACATTAATCAATAATATACGCTGTACACAGAGGATGTAAAACAGCGATATAAAATCTGCCTTCAGAGAGTTTAGAATCTAGTGGGACTGCCCTGAATGAACAAGAGATTGCCATTGCAAAATGAAATGAATAAATGCAAGATCTTACACTCTGAGCTCGAGGGCTGAAGGGATGCGCAGTGAGGACTGATCAGAGCTGCAGTGAAAGACAAAATTCAAATCTTCCAGTCCCACCAGGGCCTCCATATGAGCCCCTTTCCCTGCCCTCAGAACTCCCATATGGCTATCAAGAGCTAGGGAGGTGCGTCCCTCTTAGTTAGGCCTGTGGTTTACAAAGTGGTATGTGGCAGGGAAAGGGTGAGGAGCTGCCACATTTTGCTATATGGTTAAGAGTTGATAGTAGTTTGTTTTTTTTTTAAATATGACTCTTGACTGAATATTTTTCTTTTCTGTTTCTTCTCTTTAAAAAAAAATGTTCAACAACCAGAAAGACCTCTAGTTTTCCAGATTCCCAGAGCCCTGGTCTCTACACTACATGGACATTATCCACCTCTTCTGTGTCGTCCCAAGGCAGCATTTCTGAAGGTGATCCCCGGCAAAGCCGAACTTTCAAGTCTGTCTTTGTGCCCACGGCCGCAGTCAACCCTGTGAAGAGCGCAGCTGGCTCAGGAGCTTCCAGACAAGGGTCCTTTCAGAAAGGGCAGAGCAGCATGAGGAAGAGTAAGTGCTGGCAGAGAGGTGGGTGCTTAGAGCTAAGTAACGGGGCCCAGCCACACCCCCCGGCTACACCGGGTACTTTTGACAAAAGCAGAATCTTGGCTTTAGGATAACCCTTTGCAAAGGGTGCTTTGTAATTCCCAAAGAATTAAATACTGTACTGGAGCCAAATTTACTGAAGGTCTCTGCCCCGGATTGCTTCCTGCATGCATGGTGAACAGCAAGGATGAGTGCAATCATGTGTGCCCACGCGAAATTAGAACACAGCGGGGATAGACGCTGGTCTTAGGAAGGCAGACTTGACCAAAGCCTTTTGCTGGGTCAGTGCTTCTCAAACTATACTCCAGGGAAGTCCCAGGTGAGTGGGCAAGAGCTGGAGGCAGAAAATGAGAACCAAGGAAGCAGTACTTGGAGCCCCTGATTCCCACTATTTTTTATGTAATGCATTCATAAGGTTTTTTTTAAGGTTATAGCATAAAAAGTGTACAAAAGCTAGTCTCCCTCATAACCTTAGCCCTCAGCTAGACGTTTTCAATCGATAGGAAGATAGATAGATGATACAGATAGATGATACATAGATAGATAGGTAGGCCTGTTTAATTATGCTCACCCCATTGTCTTGCTTTTATTTCTCCCTACATAACATCTACATTGCATCTACCTGTCATTTTCGGAACTGTTTTCAACACTTAACATATTGAATTTCTACATAAAATTTTACTTTCGAGGATTCTAAAAGGTGTTTGAAACTCTGTTCTACAAAACTCCAAGGTTTTCTTCCTCTATAACCACCCAAGTGGAGTAAATATGACTTGTTCTATTCTCCCTGTATTAAACAGGGCTCTGCAATCTGTCTTGCACTCTTAATGAATGATTAAACATGAAAATGATACACAGCTAATTAGAGCAGAGGAGTAACATGCAGGACAATACTCCATGCATGAAAATTCCTCAAGAAAAAGAATATCTCCAGAGTACTGTCCCAGTGTTTCCATCTGACAGCCTGTCCGGCCACCGGTCTCACTAAATTCTGGCCACTTAACCTCTGCTTCATGGTACCTTCTGCCACTCAGCACACACACACAAAACAAGTACAATGGCACCTCAGTTCAGGAACTTGATTCTGTCCACAATACTAGCCACAAGCCGCGTTGGGCAAGAATGAACTCAAATTCAGTGGTGAGGTTCAATGTGGACTTTATGGGGAAATTTGATTCTATTCTCATCCAGCTCAGTTTGTGACCAGAATCGGGGAGAGAATTGAGTTCGTGAACCAAGGTGGCCCTGTATGCCCAACAGCCCTGAGCCAGCTACTAAGCCCTTTCTCTTTTGTAGAATGGAAATAAAAGTAATGCTTACCTCCTCACCATTGCTATAGGGACCTAATAAAATAATCTATGAGGCTGATGGTATGGTGCCTGATATATAACAAGCTCTTAAGACACAGTAGGGCTTTTAAAAATATTATTTTGTGAGTAAACAAACTTTATCCTTGCTACTACAACTAAACAGGTTGTCTTTGGTCTGTTCCAAATTCATTTAGGGCTGAAGCATTCACACTCAGTCTAGGCCATTTAGGAGTGCTGAGAACTGCAGCCCTTTGTCAGTGATCCACATTTTCTTTTATAAACTCCTTCTCTACCTCCACATAAATCTTGACTGACTTAGAGCTTCGACTGCTTGCACTAGATGCACATGTAATAAGAAAGCGTTAAGTCTCTCGACTATAAGAAACCAACGAGACAGACAGCATGAGCCAATGTTTGACTCACTAAGGGAGCCCCCAGGAGATGTCTTCCCAGTGCTGCTTTGACTTCCTGGGTCCTGCAGGCTTTCTCTTTCTCCCTTTTCCCAAGGTGAAACTGGTCAAGCTATCAATCTCCCCAGAGCAAGGAGAAATGACAGGAGAATTGACTGCGTGCACCTCACAGGGCTGTCCGTGAAAGAATAAATGTCTAAATGGAAAGGTCAGGCTTGTGTAAATGGTGAGGGGCCTGCTTGGTGCCGCTGAGAATGCCCACTGTGGTTAGTGAGTGTCTCGCTTTTCATGTTCCCATCCTGCCTGACAAAGTCACAGTGTGGATTGCAGCCTTGGATCAGGCCTTCTATGCCAGACATAAATAATTTTGAGTCACACATGTGTCTGTGGGGTGTCAGAAGTCACCAAGACCTTTGGCTGGGACATAACTTAGGACTCTTTGAATACTGAGAGACTCTTTTGAGAAATGATCCACAGTGTTTCTCAGGGGTGTGTGCCCCATTTCCTCCCAGAATGCGGTGAACCTCTGATTCCCAGGTCATCCATAGGACATATGCCCTATGGATGAGGCATCTCCTATCTTTAAAGAATTTCAGGAGAGGAATGGTTTCCTTTTACTGAAGGAGGACTGTCCCCATTTTGTTTTAAAGAATGAGTTCAGCAAAGGGCAAAACCAGACTCTTGGGCTTTGTATTTTTGAAGTATACTGCCCATTACCCAAAAATAAAAGACAGCTAAAAAACAGGGCATCCGTTATGTGCCAGGCACTATCCGACTAATATTTTGTACACATAACAAGCTGTAACCCTCACCTGCCCCATGATGTCCTGCTACTGCCTCCAGCTTACAGATGAGAGAACCAAGGTGTAGCACAGTGCTGTAACTTCCTTGTCTTGGATTGCCCGGGACAAAGTCTGATTCGAGATTCTGCGCCATGAGACTCTGTGGAGCTCATCTACACAGAGCCCTAACTCCAGAATACTGTTTCCAAATTTGCCTGTTTGGTGTCCTGTTTGTCTAGCATACATACTGTCCCTGCCACACACCCTTCCCCCAGCAGGCACCCCTCCGAATAGAGCACCCCCACCTCATGCCTAAGGCTCTGTTAGAACTTTCTTCAGCAAGTAGCAGGTGAGAATCCTCCTCCCCACCTCTCTCTTTCCCTCTTTTCCTCCCTCTTGTCTTTCTCAGCTATCCATCTCTTATGTTTCTTAATGTCTGTTGTCCATTTGCAGTGGTCTACCTGCCATTATGTCTGCTTCTCACTGTGAAGCTGCCTTTGTGTCTCTCTTCTTCACTCTTTGTCTTAAAGGCCTGAAAAAAGAGAGTAGGGGTGTGTGTGTGTGTAAGACGGTGAGACAGAAAGAGAGAGGGAAGCCAGATAGAAGCAATATACCTCCGACGCACACGCACACCATTCAGTGAGCCAGTTATTTGCTGTCTGCATCAGCAAACAGCACTAAAAAAAGAATAAGATCACCTTAGAAAGACCCTGGGAGCGTGTGAGCACAGTCAAATTAGGAAAGCACTTAAGTATTCCGGGATATCAGGACACACAGCGTACCCAGCTCCAGCCCTGCCTCTTTCCTCCACCCCCGTTGCTGATACCTCTGTCATATAATCCCCCAGATGGATCCCTGCAGAGACCAGCCCAGTCTAGGATCCCCACACTCGTGATGGGCTCCCTCAGACGCAGCCCCACCATGGTGGCCGGGCCTCAGCAGTTCCATTTCTACCAGCCGCAGGGGGCCCCCTCCTCCCCTTCTGTGGAGATGGGGCCCAAGCCTGCTTCCACCGGGGAGCCTGCCCTCACCGGCATCAGCAGAGGCAGCGAAAGCAGGATCCACTCGGCAGCCAGTTCCCTCATCATGGAAGGCAGGGAAGTCCCCATCAAGAGCGAACCTCCGCCAAAACCGCCTGCGTCTGCCCCTCCATCGATCCTGGTGAAGCCAGAAAACTCAAGGAATGGCACTGAAAAGGTAGGAGTAGAGGGCAACTGAAAGCTGGACTCTTTAGCACCAACTTTTCACACTGTCCCAGCTCCTGAGATCTTAGTGTCAGCTGAACAAGGACTCAGAAGTGTAGCCACCCTCCCCACCCGAGACAGGGTACTGACTCCCCTTTAGGCCTCCCAAATGCTTTATGCTTCATCTTTGGAGGCTTGGAGGCTTGGAATAAACATGATTTTGGCATCAGACAAATCTTGACTTTAATTCTAGCCTTGCTGGCTAGATGACTTTGGATTTGCCCTTCTGAAATTTTTTTTGGCTAATCCATGAAAAGGAGGTAAGAATAATAATAGTCACACAGGATGAGAGAGATTAAATGATGTAATGTATGTAAAGTGCTTACATGAGGCTTGATTAATCATTATATCAACGAGCAACGGAGACACAAGAGACTCTAAGTACTATCAAGGCCACACTGAACGATGACAACTGCAACAGCTAATTTATTGTGACCCATTCACTCCTATCCAGACCTTTTTACAATAGGAGGCATGAGTTTTTTAAATACTCCTGAAGAAAGAAGGATCTGGAAAGGAAGATTTGACATTCAGAAAATTAGATGCTGCTCATTGTTATCTTTGAGCTTTTTGAACATCACTGCCATTGTGCTGTCACCGCCACCATCGCTGCCATGGGCTACCATCACCCATCCTTTCCACGACAGGAAGAAGATGTAGCTTCCTTCTCTTTGTTAAGCATTTCCTGAACACTAACAACCTGCAGACACTGTGCCCAGTACTTCACATGTCCCGTCTCAGTTAATCCTGATGGCAACCCTCTCAGTAGGTATTATTTCCATCTTCATTTTAAAATGAGGACATGGAGGCTCAGGGAGCTCAGGGGCAGTCCTCAAAGCCACACAGCGGGCACACGTGAGTGTCTGGAGTAGAATCCACGTCTGACATAAAACCTTAGGCTCTTAACCTTAAGTTTATAAGCTCGCAAGCAAAGGCATTTGGAAAAAAGCTGTGACTGGTATAAGTGTTGGGAGTTCTCATTCTAATTTAAAGTTTTCCGGGCCCAGCTGCCCAATAAGCCAAGTTACTAGATATGGCACTCAAACTGTGTTCAGTACGTCCCAGGCCCCAGCTAGATACCGTGAGAGTCAAAATGCATGAAGAAATTTTGGATTATCAGTTGGGGATACAAAGATTGAATTTCATCGAAAAAGGAAATCATTCCCAGTATCCTCAGAATACTTTATTACACCCTAACACAGGGATGGCTCTGCCTCTAGGACCCTCCCGGCCTAGGCACGTAGCAGCTGTAGTTAGGTTCTTCTCTGCATTCTCAGCATCTGACACTTCCCCCATCATGCCCGTGGTATGGTTTTCTGTTTGCCTTTGTTCACTTTTGGACTCACAGCTCCTAACAGAGGGCATTACGCATAGCATACTCTCCCAGTAGACACAAGTATTTGCCGAATGAGCAATGCACAGATGAGGCATTTTGAATGGGACAACTGTAGAAAAACCGCCTGAACTCAGTCCTGGGGGAAACAGTGCATGTCTCACCCACGATCCTTTGCTCTTTTCTCTTGCAGCAAGTAAAAACCGTGAGATTCCAGAACTATAGCCCTCCTCCCACCAAACATCACAGCTCCCAACCCACCTCTGGAAAGCCTGAACAGCCAGCCACCCTCAAGGGGTCCCAGCCCGAAGCAGCCTCCTTGGGCCCAGAGATGACCATCCTATTTGCCCACCGGAGTGGCTGCCACTCTGGACAGCAGACAGACCTGCGAAGAAAGTCAGCTTTTGGCAAGGCCACAACCCCAGTGCCCACTGCCTCAGCCATGCAGACCATGTTTCCCAGCAAATGAATCTACGGATGGCTTTTCCTAGAACGCAAAGAGGTGAATTGCATTTAAATACAGTGTGCTTCCACTGAGGGCAACCTGCCATTCTTTGGGGACTCGGTCTGCTCATTTTACCCCCAGGAAAGGGACGGAGGGAGCGGGAACCCCTGCCCCGGCTGTGGTGGCCTTCTGAGCAAAATGAATCAGTGCAGCAAGGCCCACTACTCAGACCAAGGGCCGGGGGAGTGTCCTGCCCACTTTGTCCTGCCCACTTTGTCCTCCACTATCGAGTGTGGCCTCTCAGCCTCTGTATTCCACGTAGAATTTCCTAGTCCTAAAAGGAGCTTGAACCACAAGTGTGGCAGAGGTGGGATTGCTGGGATCGCATCTTTGACCTTAGCACCATTTTCTCCTCTTACTGCATTAGAACAGCGTCTGCCCTCTTCTGAGGCCTGCACACCGGCCACACTCACACCTCCACAGAACTGTAATCCTGGTGTGAGACAGATGCTGAGAGCATATGAAACTCACTGAAACTTCCCAAGTGTGTACCAAAGTCAAAAAGATGACGATGACATCTCAAATTATCATACTTTAATCTTCACCATGTCTCCCAACATATAATCCTACACAAGAGATAAGCAGGAAGCACAGAGCTGCAGATACACAGGTGTTACAGACATTAATCCATCCTTCCCCCCAAAAATGGTGTGCTTAAAAACAGCCCTAAATAGGGCTCAGTTTAGATCTATATTCTTGTCTGCACAGTTAACAGTTTTGCTTTCCCTGACTTCTCTCATAGGGCAGACTAGTTGTCTCCACAATAAGGCACCAATATCAGTGAGAATGTGGGAGTCCAGGGCTGGGAGGGAGAGCTTGGAGGGAAGGGGAAAACTATGGAAGAGAGAAGGGGGAAGAGATGAGAACACAACAGAAGGATGAACATGCCAGGGGAAAAGATAAAAGGGTCATTGGTGGGAGGCGACTTTGACATTGCCAACAGGTAGAGTAAAAAGGACAGGCTCTGCAATGAACAAAGGGACAAAACTAGGTGGCACCACAGAGGGCTGACATGGGCAGGACCAGCCAGCAGGGCCTCGTAAACAGGAGTGAGGAGGACTAGCAGGGAGCCAAGGCCATGCTGTAGGACAACCCATTCATTCTCATTAAATTTAACTATTGTGATTGAACGTTCATTGCATGCCCATCAGTGTGGACACTTTGATGCATAAATGTCATTTGCCACCAACACTGGATCCCATTAAAAAAAACCGCAGGCCTAATTAGACCTCTCCCATAGATAGATCTTGCAGGTGTTGGAAATACAAATATATCTTTCAGCTATCTACATACTTGGCACGTTAAATTATCTGTAGACTTTTCCACAGTTTAATAGAAAAAGCAAAACCACAATCCTGCCAAAGACTAGTTGTCAGATGCGTCACAGGTGTCAGATCTTTGAGGCTAGCAGAGTGAACCTGGGAGGATGTTGGCCTAGTGTTTCTGTGAGACACTGACCCACGTGTACTCCACAAAATCAACATGCCAGCTCCGCATCTCACTGAACTGAATTTAATTACCCAGGTGGTGAAACGGCATAAAGTCACAAGGACAGGAAATGTGGTTTGACTTGTCTAAATACGAGTACCTATTCCTCATCTTTTCCCAAGCAGCCTTCTCAGTTAGTTTGTTTAGCAGCTTATTTTACACTGACAGCAGCAGAGATGTAGTAAAAGACAAGTAAATGTTTAGTCTGTGGCTAGGTAGCAATGGATCCAGTTAATTTTTCACTTCTGTGACTATCAAGCAGGTTGTTTAGGTATAATGGAGAGGCGCTTATGAAGTGGAAATGGAACATGAAATAAGAAGTCTCCCCATTATCCACCATCTCTACAGGATAACCTCTCTGAGAAACAGAAACAACTCCAAGGCCTGTCACCCCCATTCCATCCAGACCCTTCGCCCAGGCCAGCAGCAAACTCACTCGCTCTCAAACCAAACCTCATCTTTATAGTTTTATGAATGTTTGAAATGCATAAGGGGGTGTTGTTTCCAGGTAGAAATTCACCTCTCTAGCACCTTGAGTTCATTTATCTCACCAACTTGTTACTAACCAATACTGCATGCTGGGTACAATGACAAGGCCCATAGGCCCAAACCCTCATGTAATTTCCAAAAAAAACTATGGAGCAGCTGTAATTGTCCCCATTTCAGAGCAAAGGAAATTGAGACTTAAAGACTAGCCACAGACAGTAATGCAGACCTGAGATGTCAGACATCAAATCTGTGTGAACCAAAAGACTCGGGGCACTGGCTCCCTACTGCTAGGAAGCGGCTTAGTGCAATTCCGGTCACAGAGGCAAAGATCCCAGCAGGCTCTGCTGCACACAAACTGAGTTCAAATCCTCATTTATCACTTTTTGGCCTTGTGATGTCTGTCAGGCAAGCTGCTTAACCTCTCAGGGCCTCCTTTTCTTAAGTAGGAACGATAATAATGCCAGCCTCATTGGACCATTGCGAGGCTTACCTGAGATGACAGTATGAAGTGATTTTAACAGTGCTGACACACAGGGAACACCTACCAAATGCTAGACTTGGATGTGTTTAAGAAAATAGGGCATTGAAATTCCAGGTGGGAAATTCTAAAACAAGGGCATACCCCAGACTGTGATGCTAAAAAGAACCTGACACGGGCTAGTTTGGGGAGACCAGATCACAGTTGAAATTGAATCCTGATGGACAAGCAAGAATCAGAAAGATGAGCTGATGGGAGAAACGGTGTTCCAGCCAGGGGCAGAGCTGTGACAGTTGGGTTTAACTGTACCAATCAAGCCAAGCACCCTTGTCCTCAGAGGAGTCCACTCCTTTGTGGAACATTCCAGGGATCCCAGATGGAACCTTAGCACCTCGAGTCTGAGGTGAGAGTGCACCCCTTTGCTAAGCCATGAGAGACCCTAGGAAAGGTGTTCCTTTGCCCACTGGTCAGATCCCAGTACCAAGTTGTTAAGAAAGTTGCTGAATTCAATTTATACTTAAGGTTATTGATTCCCCCTTCTTTAAAACCATGCATATAAAAATAAATTTTAAAAAAAAAAGCTGGGGATATAGCTCAGCAGCACAGTGCCTGCCTGGCAAGCGTGAGGTCACAAGTTCAATTCTCAGTACCAAAAAAAAGTAATAATAATGATAGAAGTGTTGATATTTTGACCTTGTGTGGTGGCACATGCCTGTAAACCCAGCATTCAGGAGGCTGAGGCAGGAGGAGCATTGTGAGTTCGAGACCAACCTGGGCTACAAAGTGAACTCAAGGCCAGCCTGAACTGCACAGCGAGACCCTGTCTCAAAAAGACACAAAAAAAGAAAGATCTCAAAGGTAGGATGTAATTGGAGGCGATAGGGGGACCACTGAGAGATGACCATGGGTCACAACCAGCTGAGGACCATCTCTAGCAATCATGTTTGAAGAAATAATCTCACTAAACACATCAAGATCCTTGCTTAGGTTATCACCATCCCACCTGGTGTGGGGCCAGCCTCATTTCCTCTGCCCACCAGCCACCTAGAGACTGGAATTCTGGAGCGGAAGTATTTGAAGCAGTGACCCACCTATGACTTGGTGAGCTGAAGGACTGACTCCATGCACAGCTCAATAACTTCCAACATTTCTTGAAAAGTCAGAGGTCTCTCCACGTGAGGCCTGCTTCCCCTGAGCAGTCCAGGGAACCTGGATCCAGGTCCAGGTGGCTTCAATGAAAAGGACATGCACTTATCAATTCGTGACCACCCCACAAACTGCTTCACACACTCACATGACCCATGCCTGAACTAGGCATATTCTCCTTAGGAACAGTGCTAGACTCCTCCCGGGTCATCCGTGCAGAAGTCTCAGCTGAATCCCTAGAGACTGGCTGCTCCAGGGAAGATTGGCTCCACCAAGTATAGTGAGCCTAATCCAGGCCCTGGAGAGTATTATGAGGCAATTTTGAGGTGCGAACTAGGCAGCTGTCTTCTTAACGAGCTTCCCAAGCAACTCTGAAGCTCATGAAGTAGGAGGCTCTAACCCATTTTTCTCATATTGTAGAGCAGAGCTGACAGCTCTGGCAATCAACAGGAATAGGGCCACACCGACTGTTAAAATATTAACACAGTTCTATACTGATAGGTGAATTCCTGAAGCTTCTCCCCTTCCCACACCTCAGCCCTTCCCGATCCACTCCATCAGTGTATCATCCAGTAGTTAGCATATCAAAGCCAGGCAGATTGAAGCCCTCTTCATTCTGATTGGCTAGTTCCTAAGGCATATTGGTTGGTAAATGTCTTGACTGCTACCCTGCAGTACAGAACGGGCCCCAGAGAGGTCCCTGAGACTGAGAGCACTGCGAGCAAGCCCGCAATGCTTCCCAACACCACGCTACACCTTTGCCACTCACCCTTGCCAGGCTGTTGGCCTAAGAAGCGCACTGACTGCGGAGTCCCTTGCATGTTAGTCTACCTGCTTCGTGGACCCCTTCCACAGGCGTAAGTAATGCCTGTGTGCTCTCGGCTCCTCTGGCTTTGGCAGGTATGGAAGTCATTTGCTTCAGTGAGACGAGCAGGCATCCATCCTCATCCTCTCGCCCACCTCTGGCCTCACAGGCCCGCCACACATTTCCGGATGCCCTCCCTGCGAAGTGAATAGCTGTGGCCTGCAGAACAGCAAACTCCTTTCCAGTCTCCCCACTCTCTTGCTCAGCTGCCACAACTGAGCTTCCCTTGTTTCCATCTTGAGAGAATAGACCCTAGTTCTCATTTGGGCGGAGAGAAGAGATTGTTAGCACCTGCAGCAAGCTCAGAGGTAACCGTGAAAGACAGTCACTTAGGAAAGGTGCTTGGGAGGCAGGACCAAACCACAGAGGCTAACTCCAAAAATCCTTGTGACAGGTTGGTGTCACTGGGAATAAATCACGCAAGGACATTTTGCTTGAAATAGAGCAATGTTAAGTGATCAAGCTGTCTGCCAGTATTATGTCCTAGACCAGAGCAGAAACAAAATGTTCCCTGGAGACACTCTGTCCACT